TCCAGACAAAAATACAGTCAACTGATTCTTGAAAAGACATCAAGGCAATTCAATGGGTGTATCAGCAGATTGTGCTAGAATAACAGTTTTGTTGTTCAGTCACCAACTTGTGGACTGTTTGTGACCCCATGGACTGCAGCACGCCAGGCCCCTGTGTCCTCCACTATCTCCTGGAGTTTGTTCAAATTCATGGCTACTGCATCTCCCTATCTTGTACCACACACAAAAATTAGTTCAAAATGTATCACAAATCTAAACATCAGAAGCTAAGACTTACAGTTTCTGGAGGAAGACATAGGAGACTATCTTCACAAGCTTGGAGCAGGCAGATTTTTTTAGATAGGGTACAGAAGGCAATAGCCATAAAAAACAAACAAACAAAACACTGATAAGTTTCTCTCCTCTCTCCTTCTAGAGGGCCCCTGAGTCTCCCTCCATGGCTGGCATGCCCCCTCTCGCCACATACTTCGTGCAGAGTCCTCACCCTTTACCCCCATCTCCACCATGTTTCTAAGGCTTTGGGGAATCATTCACGCAAATTTTGCCATGATTTACTCAGCATTTCCCTTTAAAGCAACTCACTCCCTTTTACTTAAATCTTTTCCTAACTTCTTTAGCTTTGTCCTAAACAATCTGTGCTGTGAAATCCCTAGCTTGATAGGTTTGTCATTTTTCTATTACATATTAAAACAAATCCCTAACATACTTTTTTTAAAAATGTGCAAACAACCTATTTCATGTACTGCACTTTTTTCATGTTCTTGTGAATACGTGTGTGAGCCATAACAGATGCAGATGTGTGTGCATCTGAAGGTATCTGTGGGTGGGTGAGTATAAACATGAATATGTATGAGTGTGTGTTTAAGTGTGGGTGCATGGCAGTTGAGTGTAAGTTTGTGCGTGTGTGTATGTGTGAGTGTATATGAATATGTGAGCGTTTGTCTGAATGTAAGTGTACATGTTCCTGACTGTAGAGTGTGTGTGAGTGTTGGGTGGGAGTGGGCTGGAGGAAGACTAGACCCACTACACAGTGATGAGTCATAGTGGGAGGTGACCACCTTTCCCTACCCCCCAACAATGAGCCCCGATCACCAGGAAACAGGCAGGGCAGAGAAAAGGCATGTGGGCCACCAGCCCCTCCAACTGCTTCCTGCTTATTATCCACAGGCTCTCAGAGGAGGCAGGGTAGGGTGGGGGTGGGGTAGGGAGCCTCTTCTCAGCCAAGGGAGCACCTGGATACAGCCTGCGTCCTGGTAACCATCACCAGGGACTGGTAGTACTTCTGGGAACCGCAGGAGCCAGCAGGCGGGGGCAGCCCTCTGCTGCTATATTTACAGGTCTGGATTTAGCACAGGACCTTGAGGCGGGGGGCCGAACTCCTAAGTTTTCAATATGCTCATCTCCTTGGCAACCTTGTGCAATGGATATTTTGTAGGAGCTCAGAGAGGTTAAATAAATTGCTCAAGGTCACACCGCTAGGATATCCAGAACCAGAGCAGGACCCAGGGCCAGGGTTTTTCCATTAAAGCTCAAGCAGTACAGTATCCCCCATACCCCACCCCGGCCATTCCCAGCACATGAGAACCTGCATAAACATGCCAAGGTTTCACCGTGGCTGCTATCATACAGGTCACCCCTACGGTCTTAGCTAAGTGGGTTGTTTGGGGTTTTTTTTGCCAGTTCCCATGCCAAACCCCTCAACCAGGAAACAGCTGGTGTCTTGTGTACGGAAAGCCCATGAGCAGGCTGACAGGCCATACAGGAACTGGCACACAAGGGCAGTGATCAAACAGAACTGCAGGGTCTTGGAGGTGGGGGAGGGCCTCTGGGGAGGGACAGGGGCAACCAGATCATTGAGGGTGTTTGGGGAGCTCTGGGCTGTGGCTACCTACCGACTAGCATGGTAGCATCTCAGTATTTAAATAATTCTGGCACATTCTGGCTGCACGTCAGCCTTGTACAAAGGGTCCCGGTGTTTTCAATCTTCTCAGAAGTAGAAGGTAAGGAAGCTCCTCTCTCTGTCCTTCCTCTATACCCTGCGCCCTTGCATCGTGGGCTGAGCCTTAGTGTCAGGGACAATGCTAGAGGCTGAAGACATTAGATTCCAGATCCCTGCCTGCACCCCAGGAGCCCCTGTCCTCCTTTCCTGACCAGGAGTTGAACCTGTGCCCGCTGCAGTGGAAGCTCGGAGTCTTAACCACTGGACCACCCGGAAGTCCCCAGTCCTCCTTTCCTAAGAGACATTCTCTCCGGAATCCAGCCCCAGCCCTAGGCTGTAGAGGAGTCGTTTGGTTCGGGTCCAGGGTGCCTGACACTGTGCCTGAGTGTCTGGGACCCAGACCACTGTCACTGCCTGGGGTCCAGGGCAGAGGCACTGTGCACGTAGGACCCTCCGGCCGGCTCCTGAACTCGGCAAATGGCAAATGTTTCACAGACTCTTCAGGCTAAAGAAGCTTCCCTTCAAAGAATGTAGAGTCAACCCTGTGGCAAGTGAGATGGTGGTCAACTCAGGGTGGGTGGTATCTGAAGGCCCCAGACTTCCGCCGAAGGACCCGCCTTCCTCTCATTCAGCGATTCTCAAACTGAAATGAATCTCTCCAGGGAATTAATAGTTAGGCATGGAATTTAATGCGAAATGGAGGAAAATGACAAGCCTGTTAAACTAGGGATGGTACAATGCTCTCCAAGGCAGGTCTTTTGGGACAGTGCTGGGCCCCACCACTGCGGGCAGAGCGCTCCAGCCCCGTGTCCACCTTTCAGTTGCTCCACTCCGAGCTCAAAGTCCCGGGGGAGGGAGCTGGAGTGACAGCCCCACCAAGATGCCCATGAGGAGAGAAATTCCTCCTATAAAGAAAATCTGGGTGCTGCTTTCGAAGGCAGGGCAGAGTATATGCTGGACAGATGGATAATAGCAAATGTCCTCAACGGGTTTCTGTGAGAGGAGGGTGGTGCTATAGAAATTTCAACACGGACTCTGGGGCAGAGACACCTGGTTAAGACCCCAGCCTTGGCACGTCTCCTCTGTAACTGTGGGAACCCACCACTTATAACTGCACCCAGACCTTGGCTGCTCCTAGGCAAAAGCCCCAGATGTGTTCGAGGTTTGGTGTGATCATGTTTCAGGTCTCTCATCCATCCCTGGATGCATGGCCTGGGCCTGAGCCGTCACTTCTTCCTGCAAAGCTCGTCCTCTCCCTCTGTCCCTCATCTCTTGTGTAATTAATATGTCTCCAGCCTTCAGACCCACTCAAACCCCCAGCTGCCTGAGGAAGCCCTCTGTATGAGTCAGGGTTCTTCAAAGAAACAGAGAGTCTCTGTCATCCCCATCTCTATCTCTACAGACATGCAGAGAGATTTAAGGAATTTACTCACATTGTGGGGGCTGACAAGTCTAAAATTTGTAGGGCAGGTCGGCCAACTGGAAATTCATGTGGTAGTCTTGAGTCCGAAATCCACAGGCAGGCAAGTTGGAAGCTCAGACAAGAAAGGTGTCTATGTTGCAGCCTTGAGGCAGAATTCCTTCTGAAACCACAGCCTTTGCTTGTAAAGGCTTCAACTAATTAGATGAGGCCCACCCACAGTATGAAGTGCTGTTTTCCTTAAAACTCACTGATGGTAAATGTGTTTCTCTTTCTTTTTGGGCCATATCTTGTGGCCTGTGGGATCAGTGTGCCCACAGGCATTGAACCTATGCCCCCTGCAGTGGAAGTGGGGAGTCTTAACCACTGAACTGCCAGAGAAGTCCCTGTAAATGTTAATCACATCTTCACTGAAACATCTAAGCTGATATTTGACCAAACAACTGGGTACCATAGCCTAGCCAAGTTAACACGTAAAATCAATCATCACACTTTTCCTGACCTCTAGGCAAGATCAGCACCCTCTGCCCTCTTCTACTTCCTACTTACATGCTATTCTAGGACTGTGAATTCCTCCTTCAGAGAACTATGACATTTTCTAATATTATCTGCTTAGCTGTGCTGTTCTCTTCATTTTCCACTGTGTGCTTAAGGTGTGAATTTGTGTTATTCTCAGAAATTGGGTTGGGGTGCTTATCTGAATTTCACATTTTTCTTCAATTTTGATCAATTCTCAGCCATTATTTGGGCTTCTCAGGTAGCTCAGTGGTAAAGAATCCACTTGCCAAGCAGGAGACCCAGTTTCAATCCCTGGGTCAGAAAGATGCCCTGGAGAAGGAAATGGCAACCCACTCCAGTATTCCTGCCTGGGAAATCCCATGGACAGAGGAGCCTGGCAAGCTCCGTGGGGTTCATGGAATCGCAAAGAGCTGGACATGACTTAGCGGCTAAATAGCAGCAGCAGTCATTATTTCTTCAAGTATTGCTTGTCTCCCGTTTGCTCTGTTCTCCCGAGTATGCTAGCTAAGGTGTTCTAGGTCTTGTCATTTTCCCCTCTGTGTCTCTTAGCCCTGGCTGGTTCTCTATTTTTCTTTTTCTCACTGTAATACTGTCAGAGTGATTTTTCTTCAGAGGTATCATCCAACTTGCTAAATGTCTCTTTTTAGCTGTGCATTACTCTGCTGTTCAATCTCTTCCATTTTAATAAATGATTTGTTAAAACTGTGTTTTTCATTTCTAAAACTTCTATTTGGCTTGTGTGCCACCAATTTTTTTTTCCATAGTAACCTATTCTTTGTAATCATTTCTTTTCTTTAAAAAATTCTTAATAATCACTTCAAATGTGTATGTTTTCAAGTTTTTTGTATTATTGCCACTTCTTAGGGGGTAAATTTCTTTTTTTATTTTTTAAAAATGTTTTTGTATTTACTCTTAATTTCTTCTTCTTTTTTCTTTAATGTTAATTTCTTATGGTGGCTTGTTTCCATCTGGGAACTGTAATTTTTGAGTGGGATCTCATCTTTAGTGGGAGTTGTTTTGTTGTGGGATGTCTGTGAAAACATCTTCACAGAGTACTTTAGATTTTGCTTCTGTCAGGGCCCGAAGTTCTGGACTAACTTTTATGTTACCTTTCTGGCACAGGAGTCCCAGGACCAGGGCACACCAACGAGGAGATACAGTGGAGCAGTGTGGCCATCCCCGCTATGTGGGTCACGCCTGGACCTTCTATCTTTCCCAGGAACTTTTCTCCCACCCAAGCTCTTGACAATGAGAAAATTTTGTTGCTCCTTCTGCAGGCCTGGTTGCTAGAGTTTTCCCAGCCTTCTGTTTTCCTGACTGGTTCTCCCTTTAAGTCTCTAAGCCTTAAAAGGATAAGTTTAGAGGGATAAGTTCCTGCTTTCCTGCCTCAAACAGCCTAGGGCTGCCTCCTATCTTTAAACGGGCCTTAGAACTCTAGGCTCCAGGACTTAAATGGCCTTTATCTAGTCAAAACCCCATGAAAAGGCTCAGTTCTCCCTCCTCAGGCTGGCTTTGAGTTCTCACACTATCTGGAATTCCTTTCTTCTTTTTGAAATCAGCTGTGTATTTCCAAGTGTTTCACTTATATTTTATGGAGCTATTTTACATGATAGCAAGAGGAGGGTACCTGAAACCCTTCAATCTGGCATGAGGCCAGAAATGTTCTAACACATTGATCTGTGTGTTATCTATGCACTATCAGTCTGTCTCCCAGCTAGATGGTAAACTCCATGAGGCAAGGATTGTGTTAGACTGGCTCTCAAAAAAAGACTGAGCATACGGTGGGAGTTCAATAAATAGTCTTGAATGGGACTTCCCTGGTGGTCCAGAGGTTAAGATTCCATGTTCCTGATCCCAGGGTCATGGGTTCAATCCCTTGTCAGGAACTAAGATTCCACATGTTAAATGGTGTGGCCTAAGGGGGAAAAAAAAATCTTAAATGAATGAAGATACTGTCTCTGAAGACATTAGTACCTAATTCATAGGGCTGTTGGGAGAACTTGGCAAGACAAAGTATGTCAAATACTTGGCATATCTTGGGAGCTCAGAGAGGTTATTTATTAATCATGTCGATTAAGGCAAAGGTTCTACCAAGACGGTTTCCCTGTAATTCAGCTCTCACCCCTCCTTAGACTATAATCCTGGCCTAGGACAGCAGACAGGTTCTGTGGGCGTGACTTCCTGATTTCCTCAGAGTACAAAGGTCATCCCTTCCCATCAACAGCCCTAGCACAGGGTTTTAACCTGAGTCCTGAGGCCTGAATATGAATTAGGTCAAGTCCTGTGTTGCCAAGCCCTCAAGGGTCCCCCTGGGCTCTGTTTCTGCCCCTATATAGCTCTTAGATGGAGACAGAAGAGTACTTAAGATCTGGGTTCAAGGCCAGACACTCCAGTTCTGTGGGCCTCACTTCCTCACCTGTAACAAGCCTTCCTGGCAGGCTTGACACAGGAAGACTGAACCAGCCTGACACAGCCAGCGCCAGAGCTGGTCTGGTACTGGGTGATGTCTCTCACCAGCAGCCACTTCCTGCCCTTCATCACCAGAGCCCAGCGTGAGGAGGAGGGAGATGAGAGTAGAGGGATGATTGGAGGAGGTGAGCTGTTTTGCTCGGAAGGAAGGCTTTTTTTTTTTGAAACATAATTGCTTTACAGAATTTTGTTGATTTCTGTCAGACCTCAACATGAATCATCCATAGGTATCTATATATCCCCTCTCTTTTGAACCTCCCTCTCATCTCCCATCCCATCCCCCTCTAGATTGATACAGAGCCCCTGTTTGAGTTTCCTGAGCCATACAGCAAATTCCCATTGGCTATCTATTTTACGTGTGGTAATGTAAGTTTCCATGTTACTCTTTCCGTACCTCTCGCCCTCTCCTCCCCTCTCCCCATGTCCACAAGTCCATTCTCTATGTCTGTCTCTCCACTGCTGCCCTGTAAGTAAATTCTTCAGTACCATTTTCCTAGATTCCATATATATGCATTAGAATACGATATTTATCTTTCTCATTCCGGCTCACTTCACTCTGTATAGTAGGTTCTAGGTTCATCCACCTCATTAGAACTGACTTTAAAGCGTTCTTTTTTATGGCTAATACTTCACTCTGTGTTTGTATCACAATTTCTTTATCCTTTCATCTGTTGATGGACATCTAGGCTGCTTCCATGTTCTAGCTATTATAAATGGTGCTGCAATGAACAATGGGAAACATGTGTCTTTTTAATTTTGGCTTCCTTAGGGTATATGCTTAGGAGTGGGATTGCTGGGTCATATGGTGGTTTTATTCCTAGTTTTTTAAGGAATCTCCGTACCATATTCCATAGTGGCTGTATCAACTTACATTCCCACCAACAGAGCAAAAGCATTCCCTTTTCTCCACACCTTCTCCAGCATTTATTGTTCGTAGCCTTTTTGATGGCCATTCTGACCTGTGTGAGGTGACAGCNGGTCTGTCCTCTGAGAGCTGTGACCCGCCGAGGGGCTTTAATGTCCGTCACTCCAAATCTTTGTTGTGACGAGACAAAGAACCGAGGAGCATACACTCTCGTGACATTTCCAAAGCCACACCTGTGAAATAATGAGGGTGATCTTTGCACCCAGAAAAAGGATGTACCAATTAAGAAGCCTCAAGCCAATAAAATGGTGATACTGTGCTACTCAAAGTGTGGTCCCTGAACCAGCAGCATCAGTATCACCTGGGATTTTGATAAAAATACAGAATCTCAAACCTATGGAATCAGTCTTACTTGAACAAAATTCCCAACTGATTCTGATGTGCTTATCTAACCACTAATTTTGAGAACCACTAACTTAAGCCAAGAAGATATTTATTTGGAGAGTTAAATCTAGGGTATATTCAACAGCCTCCCTGATATAATTGAGGACTAACCATTATTAGAGTTGTTTTTATTTATTTATTTTTAAAATTCTGATGCTTATTGCCTCATGGTTATAAAATGGCTGTCACAGCTCCTAGAATCTTATGCACCAACATGACAACATTCAAAGACAGGGAATGGGGTGCAGGGCCAAGGTGATAAGAGCTTGTTTTGTGAACTCTCTCCTTTTGTCGAACAGGGGAAAACCTTTCCCAGATCCCTGCAAGAGATGTCCCCTTGGTTCTTATTGGGCAAAAATGTGTCACCCTCTCCTGCTAGGGAGTCTGGGATGTTTTGGCTTTTTCATTGTCCATAGTAGGAAGCAGAAAATAGAGAAGGAGGCTGGAAAGGGCTACAGGGCAACCACTCATTAGCGTTGCCATAAAAGGCAAACAATGAAACATAAGTGTACATATGGCAAAGTTAACACATTAAATAATTAAGTAATTAGTTAAGTAATTATTTAATGAGAGAAAACAAGGAAGATCAGGGTAGCCCATTAATTTTCTGTCTTTAATTTATCTGATCAGTTAATAAATCATTTTTTTCTGTTTAACTGATTTGCTTCCTGTTTGTCCAGATCAAAAATGAAAAGGTTTTCTTTAAAATATAGGTTCCTTTGAAGACAGAAATTCCCATCTGAGTGTAAACTTTGTGTACTATTCCTAGCTCACTGTCATTACATTCTGTAAAAATAGAGGTGAAGAGACCAAAAATAAGGTAGTCAACCACATTTATTAATGCTTTTCAACATATAAATGTATTGTCCACAGCAGTTGTATATAAAAACTCTTAGAATTTAACATACCCTTTAACATAGAAATTCCACTTCTCGGAATTAGTCCTAAGGAAATAATCAAGGATGCATTTCAAAAACAGCCATTAACAAGCCGCCTATAAAAACAGGGGACAACCTAAATCTCCAGTGACAGGGTGCTGGTTGATGATACAGCTATACAATGAGATACTAAATAGCTATAAAACAACAACAACAGCATTGAGTAGTATTGGATGTCATGGGAAAATGTTCACAATATATTATTAAGTAAAAAAGCAGTTTATAAGGCAGTAAGAATGTAGCATAACCACATTTTAGTTTTTTTAAATATAATTATGTTTAAAAAAAAACAACACTGCAAGGACACACTACAAAATATTGCCTTTCTGGGTGGCCCGATTATGTGAGGTTTGATTTTTCTTTTGACTGCTCTAAAGTAAATATGTTTTAGTTTGCTGTGAGAAAAAAAGAGGGTTTGTAGTGCTAGATTAAGATCTAGGCTTCCCTTTCTCACCTTTTCTCCCTACCTCCCTACCCTCAGGCTAAGCAAGAAATTCCACCCCCCACCCCCAACTCTGAATGCTGTGGAGGCTTCTGGGGATCCCTCCCACTTGGCCAAGTTTCTGTTTTGGTGGAAACTCTTAATGTTTCCATTGTCTGATTTGAGAGTGTTCAAATTATTCATCTTAATTAAGTAGGACTAGGTGTTGTTTTGACAGAGACTCTCACCCAGCAGATTTTCTTTACCACTCGTTTGTTTTAGAAGCCAAGAATGAACAGGGTTGAGAGGGAGGGCAGATGGCCCACCAGGCACTATCTACATCTGAAAGGCAGCCTTTCTGATGCTGGAAGAAAGGACAGGATGGCCCCTGGCTGGTGCGTCCCACACAGCCAGTTACTTAAAAGTCTTGGAAACCCCCCCCCCCCCCCCGCCGGCAAGGACTGTTTCTTTGCAGAAATAGCTTCCTGGGTTCCAAAGTGAGTCAAGTAATAGTCCTTATCTAAGTAGTCTAGTGGTGGTTTTATGAGTGGACATTTATCCTCTCAACTCAAAATGTATGTTCCTACTCTGTGCCACTTGATTCTGTGGAGTGATGGAGCCAGTCTAGAGAGGTGACCACCAGCAACCTGTCAGAGGTGCTGACATCTGAGCTGAGACTTGAAGGGCTTCCAGCCATGAGCAAATTTGGAGGGACAGGCTTCCAGACAGAGAAAATAACAAGGGCAAGGACTTGTGTGGGAATGAGCCTGGCCATTTCTAAGCAACAAGGGCATCCTGGGAGGTCTTTTCCTGAGATAAATGCCTACAGTGGGGTGATGGAACCAAAAGTTAGACATTTTAATGACTCTTGATATATATATACACACATATAAAAAAAATATATATATAGCTGGATTGTTTCCAGAATGAATGTAATTAAGATTTTGTGTCCTATTGTTGACAGCAGTTATCCTTGGAGAGTGGGATTCAGAGGTTGACAGGATGAGAAAAGAGACAAAAAAAAGTTTCCATCTTCTGAGTGATTTGAATTTTGAGTCAAGAGTATGTCATTTTTATAGCTTGAAGTGACCTATTGTTTTAGAACACTGGACATAAGCAGGGTGGTAGATATGTTAGGGGAAGCACACTGATTGAAACCGCCCACTCTGGCCAGGCACCATAGTAACCATTTGCATGAGTTGTTTTATGACAGGAGATCCTGATAAGGAATACGGAACTAATAAGCCACCACCAACCGAAAGATTTCGGGAAAGGTTGAGAGGAGACACTGCCTGTCCGTCTACTTCCCAGAATCCCTCTTGCTAGCATCTGTCTTGGTTGAGTGATGTGCCACCAGGAAAGACTGAATTAGAATGACTGGCCAAAGACCACCCAGAAATTAATCCCATCACCATAAAACCCAAGACTGCGAGCCACGCAGCAGAGCAGTTCTCCTGGGTTCCCTTACCCTCCTGCTCTCCACCTGGGTGCCCTTTCCCAATAAAATCTCTTGGTTTGTCAGCATGTGTCTCCTCAGACAATTCATTTCCGAGTGTTAGACAAGAGCCCAGTTTCGGGCCCTGGAAGGGGTCCCCCTTCCTGCAACAGATACAGTATTTTATTATTCTAAATATCATATATATGTATTTAAGCTC